AAAAAAAAAAAAAAAAAAAAAAAAAAAAAAAAAAAAAAAAAAAAAAATCACAATGTGTATAATTTTATATTGTAATTCTTCAGGAAGAAGAGAGGCTACATTTACTGTCCTTAAAATCATTCTTTTGTGAAATTTGCTTTTAAAAAATAGCAATTTACATTCACAGATACTTTGAGCTCTGACTTTTTCTAAGTACACACAGGGTCAAGAGGTGCTTGGGCAAAATGGTGGTCTTTTTCTTAAATTATTACCACATAGCAGGCAAGTAGGAGTCTTCTTTAGAGAGAGTGTGACAAATAAAGTTAATCTTAAAAATTGATAGCCGCTCATGCTCTAGTCTGTGTCTGTTAATTCATTGAGAATTGTAAAATAGTGATATCCTTTTTTTCACCCATAACTAAGATGCTTTAATTTCATCATCTAAGTCTTTGGTTAAAATATGTAGGTTACTCAACAATATCTTCGTATAGGAAAGGCAAGATAAATGGTTGATTTTTCTAATCAGTTCTTTTGTTTCTTTAAGGGAATGTATCCTTTTAAGATCATGATTGAATATGCATGATGGATTTTATTCATTGATTTTGATATTTTTGAAAAAAGTTTTTTAAAAAAATTAAACTGGAATATAGTGTCCCACCCCTTTAATCCCAGCACTGGGGAGGCAGAGGCAACCAGATCTCTGGGATTTCAAGGTCAGCCTGGTCAACATAGTGAGTTCTAGGGCAGCCAAGGCTACACAAAGAAACCCTGATTTGAAAAAAACAAAAAAAGAAACAAGTTTGTTTGTATTTTAATGTGTGTGTTAGTATACGCGCATGTCCCCCTAAAGAGACCAGAAGAGGGCATTGTATCCCCTAGAGCTAGAGTTGTATAAGCTATTGTGATCTACCCTCTGTGGGTTCTGAAAACCAAATTCTGGTGGTCTAGAAAATCAGCAAGTATTCTTAACTACTGAGCCATTTCTCTCTCAATTACCATTTTTATTGAGGCTCATATTGTATCATTGGGAGCAAAAAAGGTTCCTGAGTTGATTTTAACAAAGGACTTTGACTTTTTTTGGTAAAGAGTAGGGCAATTGAGCTGAGACGTTGGCTCAGTGAATACGAGGAACTTGCTGCCCAGACCTGACAACCTGATCAAGGAGAGAGCCGACTCTGGAGAGTTGTCCTCTGGCTCCATGAATGCATCATGCCTCCTCTCCTTCCTTTCCTCCTTCTGCCTTCCCCCCCACACACACATTCTTGGGAAGGTGGAGTTTTTTGGAGGGATCCATTTGTTTCTGCTGATATTTGGAACTTAGTGATGCAACTTTGCTATAATGAGTAGCCAGTGTCTTAGAATGTGTATTACTTACAAAGAATAACAATTTTATTTTTAGTGTGTGTGGAAATTGAAAAGGAAACAGTGTTGCCTAGCAACAGTTTGAAAATGTATGTTTAATGGGTTACTCAGCCAGTTAATAAATATTTCAGTGCTTATGTTGAACCAGTTTCCACAATAGAAATTCTGGAGAATTCAAATGATTATAAAGCATACTAACTAATTTGAGTAAAACAAGTTCCAAAGAATGGTTTTTAAAGCTTTTACATTTTCTTTCAGACCTGTCACGAAATCGCCTCTCAGAAATCCCTATGGAAGTGTGTCACTTTGTTTCTCTGGAAAGTCTTAACCTGTACCAGAATTGTATTCGATATATCCCAGAGGCCATTCTAAACTTACAAGCTCTGACGTTCCTAAATATTAGGTAAGAATAGTATCCGTTTAGAAAAAGTGGTTTTATATGATCTTTCATTTTCTCCTCTCTGTCACTGAAATGTTAACAATTTCTTATGCTAGCTGTTCACACCAGCACTTCCTAATATGTTCTTAGGATATAGTAACGTTTTCCCCATGTTTCTCTTGTTGCTCCCTTTATTTTTAGTTTTGCATAATTAACAGACCCAACTAGCTGTTAGCCTAATAATCCTGTAGAGGTCTTGCAGCTGTGGTTCTCCAGTTACATTTTCAAATTAACTTTATCACGTAAATACTAAATCTGATGGACTGGGATACAGCTTAGCTGGTAGATCACTAGCCCAGTGTGCACAAGGGTCTGGGTTCAGTTCCCAGCAGGACACACAGAAACACACACAATACATTGTTATTTTTAGAGTGTGTGTGTGCATAATGTGAGTATTTGGGTATGTGCTGTAGTGTGTGTACAGAGGCAGAAAGCAACCTTGTGGAATCAGTTCTCCACTTCCACTTTCATGTGGGTTCTAGGGGGTTGAACTCAGGTTGCCGTACTTATGTGGAAAGTGCCTTTACTTTATTTCATTGGACCTTGCAAATGCTTTTCTAGTAAATATTTTGTTGCCCCGTTTATATACATTAAAAAAAAAATCCATCCCTGGGGCTAGAGAGATGACTTCATAGTTAAAAGCATATACTGCACTTTGAGAGAACTTTTGAGTTCAGTTTCTAGCAGCGTCCTCAGGCATCTCACAGCTGCTGTAACTGCAGGGGAGTCTGATGCCCTCTTCTGGCTGTTTTGGGTGCTGCACTCACATGCATAAACCCACTCTCAAACACACATATATACTTAATTAAAAATAAAAGTAAATTTTAAAAACTAAAATCCACTCCTTTTAGATATGTAGTTCCAGCAATTTTTAAAAAAATGTTTAAAAAATCACTACTAGAGAAATTTGTATGTAAATGTTAACATTTTTTTTTCTTAATAATCATGTATAGCAGAATTATTATTGGATTAAAACATTTTATTTTATTTTATTTTTCTCTCTGCGAAAGATTTATTAGGAGGGAAAGGGGAGCAGGACATGGGGAGAGAGAGAGAGAGAAAAGGGAAGGGGAAGGAGGGCGCCCCGAGAGAAAGAGAGAGTGTAAGAGAGAGAAAGAGAAAGTAAGAGTGAGTAAGAGTGTAAGAGGGATTAAAACATTTTAAAAGGTTCATAAAGTATGTTAATCAACGAGAGATCTTGAAAAGATCTTTTTAGGGAAGGACTTGGCCTTAAAATAACTATTATGGGGTTAAATTTACATGTAAACTTTTAATTTGTTTTTATTCCGATGAGAGATGTACTTTACTATTTTATGTTTCTGAATTTTATGGTTTTTTTTTAAATAAACAAAGATTCCTGTTATCTGCCTAAATTTAGTAGTTGGGAACTGATTAAACTGACAGGAACTTAACTCTAGTATCCTATTGATTTCCTATAAGACTTATTTTTGGATCTAAAATGACAGATATGTTCTTTCTCTGTGTACTCATTTAGTCGGAACCAACTGTCAACATTGCCCGTGCACTTGTGTAATTTACCATTGAAAGTCTTAATTGCTAGCAATAACAAATTGGTCTCACTTCCTGAAGAAATTGGACATCTCAGACATTTGACGGAACTTGTAAGTTAACATTTTATTCTTTGATTGTCCAACATGTCTGCAGTATTCTATATGATAAAAATAAAATACTGCTTTTAAAAGTAATTTTATGGTGTTGGCTTGACATATAATTAAGAAAGACTTCAACGTACAAGTCTTACTATCTCCACAGAAGGGGAAATGTCATTGGTTATTTTCTAACCAGCATTAAATTATTTCTGTATTACTAAGCTCTTGAGACATAATTTAATAATGTGATTGGGTTTTTTAATTAAAATTTTAATATCAATATTTTTATCATTTTTCTTAGCCTTTATAAATGAATGGGCACTCCAAAAGTTGGTTTTTGATTTTTGTATGTTTGTTTTTTGTTAGCATATCTTTGGGATATATAGCCAAAGATATATATCTTTGGGATATAATTTGGTATTACATATTTTCTAAGATATTATTAAACTTTACCTACTATTATTTATGAATATACAGGAAACTCTTTTTTTGTTTGTTTGTTTGCTTGTTTTTGTTTTTCAAGACAGGGTTATTCTGTGTATCCTTGGCTGTCCTGGAACTCACTCTGTAAAACAAGCTGACCTTGAATTTAAGAGATCCTCCTGCCTCTGCCTCTCAAGTGCCAGGATTAAAGGTATGCACCACGACTGCCTGGCCCAAGAAACTAAACCATTTCTTTTCTTTTCTTTGTTTTTGTTTTTATTTTGTTTTTCTAGATAGGGTTTCTCTGTATGGCCTTTGCTGTCCTGGACTCACTTTGTAGACCAGGCTAGCGTCTAAGTGATCCATCTGCCTCCTCTGCCTCCCGGAGTGCTGGGAGTACAGGCATGCTGCTGGATATCATTTCTTACATATTTATGTTTTGAGTTAGTTTAGGAGTTAGACTACTTATAGCCCCACAATCATATTATGGGCGGGATTCTAACTGTATTTTATAGCTAAGGAAACCAATACTAAATGACACTATCAGATTGGAAATCAGCGTCCTTAAACTAAAGCCTATGTTTCATATTACTTGAAATGATCAAATGCAACTATGATAGTTGAGACTTAGTAAGAGAGTGTGGGGGGTTATCAATAAAGATGGTTGTTGTAAACAGAAAAAAAAATGGTATAAATCTAGTTGGACAAATTAGATTACTTTGGTACAGGACTTTGGATTTAAGAATTGGGATTTTAGGCTACTGTTTTTGTGCTAGCTAGACTTTGGAAATAAAACCCAAAGTGTATGTTTTAGGACATTCTTTAGAACCTGGCTTGTTAACATGAAACAGGTATAACTTATACTTTAAGTCCTTTTGCTTTACTTATTTCTATGATAGACAAAGGAGTGAGCATTCTACTTAATTTTTTCATACAATATAGTTTGATCATGTTATTACTTTATTTTACTTTTTATGAAAAGGTCTTACTTTATATCCAACAGTTGCTTTGAACTCAGTGTCTTTATCTTAGTTTCCCAAATCTTTATTAACAAATAATTTAAACTTTTAAAATGCTTATGCAATCTCAACAGATAGATACATGTTTGAGGTGCTGCTTTTAGTTTTCTACAAGTGGTGCTAATTAACGCCCTCAGTCACTCAGGGAACTGTTGACGAGGAAGTAACTTCAAAGCCTCTGTCTCCCCAATGGTCTTTTTACCTCATTCTTCTCTCTTCTTTCCTTCCCACCTCCATTTCTGGGTGGAAGTAAATGACTTTCTTTCCACTTGGGTGTTTTCTGAGAGACACATCATACTCTTTTGAAATAGGATGTGAGCTGCAATGAAATTCAAACCGTACCTTCCCAAATTGGTAATCTGGAAGCCTTGAGAGACTTTAATGTAAGAAGAAATCATCTAGTACGCTTGCCTGAAGGTAAGAAACTATGAAATAATCATTTTGTTGGTATTTGTCTTTTTATTTTAAATATTTCTCAAACTGGTGGGTACAAGTCAAAAAATGTGTACGAGGTAGAGCCAGTGTTTGAGCTCTAAGGGCTTACTCAGTTAGCATCGTCTGCTAGACTGTGCCCTTTAGAAACCTGTTAAGAGTGGGGCTACTGGCATGGGCCTGGTATCCCAGCTACTCAGGCGGCTCAGGCAGGAGGATCACTTAGGCCTGCTGAGTAACGCTGTGAACCCTGTCTTCAGAGAGAGATGGGAGAGGGACAAAGAAAAAAGAAAACAAAAGAGGGACAGGGCATGTAGTTCAGTGGTAGAGCACTTGGCTAGCAGTCAAGACTGGAGGTTCAACCCCAAATACCAGCAAAACAACAAAAACTTCAGAGAAAAATTTTGGTAGCTCTTGCTCAGTATTGCATTTTAGGTCTTGTGGGCTACCCTGCGAACCACTGTAGTTGATCCTCAGAGCAGTGTCATTGTGGTCTCAACCAAGCGTGAGTATGGCGAGAAATGGAGTGTGCTTGGTGACGGGATAGTCTGGTGTGATGTATTAATTTCTAAATTTATAAATGGACTTTGAAAATTAAATAGAATCAATAGAGTTTGAGTTGAACTTAACTTTATCCTTTGCTGGAAAAGTTCAAACAAGGTCTAGTTAAGCATGTGAAGGTGATAGGCAGTAACAAGTGAAGTGAGCATCTCTAGTAGTCTTAGGTTGTCTGTAAATTCTCACGTGGATTTGAATGACAGAAAATCAAATTTTATCAAGTGCTCACAAATACAAATCCATGAAAGGAAAGGTTGCAAATAAAAACAAAAATGAGAACCATTTTTAATTAAATTCAAACTATATTTATTTAATTTAGTTATAGAATATTTCCATGTGCCTGTCACTCACTACTACAATAATTGGCTCATGGTGATTTTTATTTCATTTATATATTTTTTTCATACATATATTTCACCATATGTATGTGTGTATGTGTGTATATATATATATAAATATATATATATATATATTTCCTCTCATGTACTTTTCTCCACCCTAATTTTCTAGATTAACTTAAAGCAAATTCTAGAAAATAACTCAAGAACATTTCAGAATACATATTTAAAAATGAGAATCAGTCTTCTATAATGACAGGTGCCTGTAACCTCAGCACTGGGAGGTAGAGATAGGAGGACTGTGAGTATGACTCCTGGGGCATGCTTTGACTATAGAGAGACCATGTCTCAAAAATAACAAAGAAAAACAACAACAACAACAAAAAGAAAAGCTTTAGAAATATTTTCATAACAATGATCTAAGTTCTGTAAGATGTGACAAAATTTATAATAAAAGTTAACTTATGATGCTTTTGCTTTTACTACAAAGTCCAAACATTCCAGTTTGATCTAGTAAAATACTTAGTTCTAACACAACATTTGACATTTTGGATCTGAGGTGAACACATTAGAAAATTATTTCCTCTGTCACCTTTATACACTTAGCTATCACCCACTGCCTGGTACCTCACATGTTCTCACTGAACTTGTCTGGTAGCCTTCACACTCACACCATTTGCTTTCAGGCCTTTCCTCCATTGCGTCTTCCACTTGCGACCAACTCAGGATAGGAAGAGAAGCTCCCAGTAAACCAAGAGTTATGACCTATGTGCTAATAGCCCAACACATTTGTGTTTTCTCTCTCCCTCTCTCTCTCTCTCTCTCTCTCTCTCTCTCTCTCTCTCTCTGTGTGTGTGTGTGTGTGTGTGTGTGTGTGTGTGCATGTGTGCATGCGTGTGTGTGCATGCGTGCGTGCGTCTCCGTCAGGGACTGAAAACTGAACACAGGACCTTGTGCATATTAGGCAATCTGCTATTATTAAGCTGTGCTCCCATTCCACCTTTTCATATTTCATTTTCATTTTGAAACAGAATTCAACTTGCCTTGGCTGTCCTGAAATTTTCAGTCCCCTCTCTTAACTCCCAAGTAGCTGGGATTACACCCACCAACCCCTTACAATACCAGGTCCAAAATTCCATCCCTTTATTCAGGGCCTAGTCACTGTCTTCTAGTCTTCTTCATGGAGCAAGATTACTGATAAAAATGTTGAAGTTTCAGATTTTGTATTGGGGGGGGGTTGTTCCCTGAAGTAGGCTCTTATAACGTAGCCTAGGCTACCCTCAATTACACAGTATTCCTGAAGCCTTATGAGTGCTGGGGTTGCAGGTTAGTGCCACCATGCCTGGCAATGTTGAGGTTTTGATTAACATTGGGGCTTTCGGGTGGCAAGCATGGTTCAATAGTTTTATCCTCTAATTTATATCCTTTATAAACTGTTGAAAATGTGAATTCGCCAGGCTCAGTGGTGCACACCTATAATCCCAGCGTTCAGGGAGACAGAGGCAGGCAGATCTCTGAGTGCAAGGCCACCCTGTTTACAAAAAGCAAGTCCAGAACAGCCAAGGCTACACAGAGAAACCCTGTCTGGAAAAAGAGAGGGGGGCATGAATTACACAGTTTTAAATGTTTAATTGCATGGTTTCTAATCAGCAGCTGAAGTAACCTGAGGTGGCAGGAAATTTATTTGTGCATTAACTAGTAATATGTGACATTGCGTTTTGGTTGGTTACATCACCATTTTCATTGTAATTAATTTTAACTAAATAGCAACCAAAAGATATTTAAAAGCTCAAAGTAATTATTAATATTCCTTTTCCTCATACCGTCTCCCTACCCCCACCCCGCCCCCCAACACCACTATTCAAGTTCCAGTGGCCAGGAGTATTTTCATTAGCTTCGTTGGCTGTTTCTTGACTGTTTTTAAACGCTGGTTTGGGGAGGAGAGCCTTTGTTTGTGTATTTGTTTGTGAGGGAAGGTCTTGCTATGTGGCTGTGGCTAGCCGGCCGCTCACAGCGCCACAGCCTGTGCCTGTGCCTCCTGAGTGCTGCAGTTGCAGGCGCTGCACATGCCGAGACCTGGCAGCTGGGAGTATGGCCCATCTCTAACCCATTCTCTGTCTGGGAGACCTGAGCACCTTCCCTTTTTCCCACTCACTGAGTGGGCTAGCTCTGTGTGCTGGTTACTTAGAGCTGCTCCTTAGACCTTTGTCTTGAGAGAATTATTTGTTTACCCCCTCCCATCTTCTTACCTTGGTTTATTTGGGTGTGTGTACATGTGCCACAGTGCAAGTCTGTGGTCACAAGACCGCTTGGTTCATTCCGGGGTCAGACTCCTCAGACTTGGCGGCAGGCTTCTTTGTCTGATGACGCTTGTCTTTTTTTAACCCTGTGCTTCCTGTGTAACCCTGGCTGTCTGTGTAAGCCAGGCTGGCCTCAGACTCACAGGGGTCCACCTGCCCGTGCCCCCCAAGTGTTCCAAATCCTCCCGTGTGCCCCCACACCTGCTTACTAAGTCATCTTGCTGCTCCCTCCCCTCTCTGTGATCCTCTTTCTTTCTGGCTTTTCTGTCCCAGTTTTCAAATTGAATGTTATGTCTAAATCTTTGATCCTTTGATTTTTCTTATTCATTTCTTCACCATTTTGTGCTAATCTAGAGTAAAAAAAAGTTCAAACCGTTCTTGAATTTTCCAATTTCAGAAATTTATTCAGAATTTTTAGTTTCTACCATCATAAAATGCTTATTATTCTGTGATCTTTTTTTAGGGGGGGGGGAGACTATATTTTAGTGATTCCGTATTCTATTTCTCTGAAGTAAAAAACATTCTGGCTTATCAAATTTCCTTCTGTTCTATGTACTTTCTTGTTTCTTCTTCTTTTGTTTGTTTGTTTTTTGAAACAGGGTTTCTCTGTTTAGCTTTGGCTACCCTGGATTCACATTGACCAGGCTGGTCTTGAACTCACAGCAGTCCATCTGAGTGCTGGGATTAAAGGCATACACCACCACTCCTGGCTTCTTTTTTCTTTTATTAGTTAATTCATTTTTGTTCCTGTCTTACATGTTGGAGACCTCTCAGTTTCTGAGGGTCATGTACAGTGTGTACACAGCATCATAGAAGTTCTAAATACATTGGGCAAAAATTGTTGAAGGGTGATTAAGCAAGAGGCTATATATTTTACTGAGGGAAACTTTATGTCAGTAACTAAAGACCTTTTTATATGGGAGTGAGTAGTTTCTCCAGAGAAAGATGTATTTGGCATATCTTTATATGATTGTATGCATGTGTTACTGGAATTCAGGAGTGGGCTAAGGCCGGGTAGGTGGAAAAGGTGGCCTTGCCGTTAGTATGTTTGCTTTACATCCTCTATTTTCTGCTTCCCACCAACCCTCGCTCCCTAAGTTCAGGGCCTTTGGTACAGTTTCCATAGAGAATAACTTTCTGGTTCCTGTGGTGTGACTGTGAGTGTCCAGCTGAGGTACTTGGGACTGGGGCCACAGGCATCTAACATTAGCTGTTCATGAAGACCTCTATCTGGCTCCTTTGTTGTCTTTTTTATTTTTTTAAATAGTGTTAGGTTCTGAGAACTGAGTCGTACTGGTAGAGGGAGGGAGTCACACTGCCAGGTTTCTGGTGGAACTCCTATCTCTAAGCAACCAGACTTTATTTTACACCTTGTTAGTCACGAAGAATAGCGGTAAGTGGTTTTTTAATCTACCACATTTAACTGGAAGCATGTGTAAAAACTGTAGTTTCAAAATATCAGTGATTGTTTCTTCATTTACTTTCACGCAGAGCTGGCAGAGGTGCCTTTGATACGACTGGACTTCTCCTGCAACAAAATCACAGCAATCCCCGTTTGTTACCGGAATCTTCGGCACCTGCAGGTGATCACCCTGGATAACAACCCGCTGCAGTCGCCTCCTGCACAGGTAATCATGGGTAAAGTCTGCTGAAGGGCGGCTTCTGTCGGAGCATTACAGGAAATTCTCTGTGCATTGTGTCCATCTTGTCGTTCCCCACCACGACCATCCGCACACCACCACCACCACCTGTGCCCGTAATAAAAGGGATGAAGAAAGAGTTTGATGTTTCCAAAAGTTGGCACTTTTGTATGTGTGTATGTGTTCATGTGTGCACCAGAGTTTGGTGACAGGTGTCTTCCTCAGTCATTCTCCACCTTACTGTTTTTGTAGACAAAAATCTCTCGCTGAGTTTGGAGCTCACCAATTCAGCTAGCCTCCAAACCCGAGAGATCTCCCTGTCTCTGCCCTACCCTCCCAATGTATGGTACTTTTATGTGGGTACTGAAGATCCAAACTTGGGTCCTCACGCTTGCACAGGGGCAAGCATTTTCTGACTCCCTAGTCCTTAAAGACTTTAACTTGAGTAATTTTCAAAAACTAGTTTACTGGCTGGGCGGTGGAGGCGCATGCCCTTAATCCCAGGGCTCATAGGCCGAGGCAGATGTGGAGCTCTAGTTCCAGGACAGCTGGGGCTGCAAATCTGTCTTGGGGGTAAAAAAAAAAAAAACCCTAGATTTATAAATGAAATTTGAGTTAATTTCTTTTGTAATTTTCTCCTATTAAAGCTTGAATTGGAGAGCATAAGTGTCATAGACAACTTTCCAAACTGAAAATTATCACTATATTCTTGGTAACATTGTTTCTGTGCCTTCCTATTTCCTAAAATGGTAAATTACTCATTTAACCAGTTGGCTCATTTGTTTGTTAGTAACTGAAATGAAACTACTAACTATAAGGTAGGTTATATCCTGTAATCTATAAAATATTTGCCAAGCTCATAGTTTTCACTATGAAGTTTTTTTTTTTTTCTTTTTTAAGATTTATTATGTATATGGTGTTCTGTCTGCATGTACACCTGTATGCCAGAAGAGGGCACCAGATCTCATTATAGATGGTTGTGAGCCACCATGTGGTTGCTGGGAATTGAACTCAGGACCTCGGGAAGAGCAGCCATCTCTCCAGCCCCATCTTTTTTTGAGACAGGATTTCTCTGAGTAGCCTTGGCTGTCCTAGACTTGCTTTGTAGACCAGGCTGGCCTCAAACTCACAGAGATCTGCCTGCCACTGTCTGCCCAAGTGCTAGGACTACAGACATGTACCACCATGCCCAGGTGCGCTGGAATTTCTTAAAGTTTTTGTTCTTCATTGTGTCTGTGCACGTGTGCTCCGACATGTGGAATTCAGAGACAGCTCTTGAAATTGGTTCCCTCTCTACCTGTATGTGGTTCCAGGGGTCAAACTCCTATCACCAGGCATAGGTAGCAAGTACCTCTACCTGAGAGCTATCTCACCCTCACTTTGCAGTTTAATAATGTATAAGCTTGTGACAGCCATAGAATCTGGGAAAGTTACATGAGAACCTCACAATTAAAAGGTTTTGAGGTAGTTGGGTTTTATTCTGTGATGAAGTACTTAAGAGGAAGTGAGTTAAAAGAAGTAAGTAAGGCTCCTGGTTTCAGGGTTCTAGTCGGCTGGCTCCATTGCTATGGACCTGTGGTGAGACAGTATCATGGCAGCAAAAGCATGTGGTTGAGGAGGCTGCTTAACAGCCAGGAAACAGGAAGGCTTCAGGACTAGTTTCACCCTTGAGAGGCACACCCCCAGTCCCGTCTTCCTCCAACCACACCCAGTCTCCTGATGCCCATTTAGCCATGAAGTCATAATGTATTAATTCATGATCATGATCACATTAGAGCCCACTTGATCCATTCACTGCTCAAAAGCCCATCAGCTAACAACTAAGCTTTTAATACATAAGCCTTTAGGGGACATTTTTAGACTCAAATTATAGTTTCATTAGCCTAAAGAATTTGTTTGCCTCATGAGACAAGTCACAACAAAATTGAATGTATGTAAATTTCACCAATTTATCATTGCTAGTTCTCTTCTACAGAGATCAGCATTTAAAATGTAATTATAGATGATTAATACCTAGAGAGAAATCTTTAAAGTCCTGACTGTATAAACTAATCAGTGTGTTCAGTTTACTTGGTATGTAACAGTGTTTATAATCGTAAGTTACTCTGCTACTGAAACTTTCTAATAACTAAAAGACAAAACCCTAAAGTAAACACTGAACCAGATGATACAGGTTATCTTTAATTAATGCACTGTGTATTTAATAGGGATGCCTTAAAACTCCAATGTATATATTACACAAAAAGCTAGTTATTAAAAAAGAAAGGGTGGGGAGGAGAGAGAGAACACATCTGGGGGCTGGAGAGGCAGCTTAGCGATTAAGAACACTTTTTCCAGGGGACTGGAGCCTGCAACCCAGCACCCACATGGCTGCTCACGAGTGTGTGTGCCTTTAGTTCAAGGAGATCTAATAGCCTCTTCTGGCCCCCGGGCACCAGACATGCACATGGTGCAGAGACGCGCATGCAAGCAAAGCACTCATACACATAAAATAATATGCTTGAAAGAGCACCTATACTTCAGATGAATAGTAATTTGGCTGCATTTGTTATTTTATTTAGATTTGCATAAAAGGCAAAATTCACATATTTAAGTACCTGAACATACAAGCTTGTAAGATTGCTCCAGATCTGCCGGATTATGAAAGGAGACCCCTAGGGTTTGGCTCCTGGTAAGTATGTTTTACTCTTTTGTCATAGTACATCAAAGGGAAAGTCAAATTAACTTTATTCTTAAATTGCCTGAAGGAAAGTAGCACTCTTATCCTCAGAATGCTTGTGTCAAATAGGAACTGGTTACATAGATCCTGCAAAATGTGGTTCTAGGTCAGTCTCTTGCAGTTTGGGTGCTATTGACATTGTAGTCCAGGCAGTTCTTTGTCATGAAAGGTTGTTCCCCATTTTGTGCATAGTTAGCAACATCCTGGCCCCTCCCTCCCAGGTACCAGTAACACACTGAAATGTTTCCTGATAGCCAGATAGTGCCAGGATCCCTGGGTAGGCCCCTGGTTGAAATTCGCTGGTGTGAGTGGCTTGAATACTAACCTTAGCTCTGCGCTTAAAAAGTTTCTGACTTATAGCAAGTCACTTGAACATTCTGCTTCATTTCCTTTGTGACTGTGAAGAGGCATGGGCTCTGCTGAATGTTGACATCACCTCAAGATCTTTTAGTCTGTGAATTTCTTAGCTGTATAGCTTATGCCATGTAAGGTCTTCTACTTGGCACTCCCAGTCCCAGCCATGTGGAACAATCTTAAACGTAGGAATTAAATTAAAAAGCCTTCAAAAAGGAGAGCTAGATATCCCAGTAAAGATGTTATGATGCTCATGGACTTTACTCAACAGAGAACCTTTCAGGCCTTTATTTAGGAACTGTCAGTTTTTGCTGAAACCACAGTCCAGATGAGCTTGCTTCACAATTTTCTAGCCTAAAATAGATCAATAAATGTCCATATGGTTTCTAAAAGCGGGTATAGCCAGGTATTGATATGGTATATTAAATATGTATCATGTTCAGAAAAGGCAATTTATTATAGTTTTAAGTTTTTATTAGAAATTATTAAAAGATTTAACTGTTTCATATTAGAAAGGAGTAATTTGAAGCCATCTGAAACAGGATTTCTGAGGTAAATAGTGTTACTTTGTAGGGATTTGACTCCCACCCTTTGCTGCAAATTCTGCCTTTCTTACGGTGATCCGCACTCGGGCGAGCATTTGGCATACATAGTAATACTGAGGAAATAGTTATTGAGTGAAAGAAAAGCTGATTTAATCAGATAAATATTGCTATCATCCACATAAAATTTCCAGAAAGATCTTTGTAATGACATTCCAGGGTGCTTAGCCTAGCTATTAGATTAAAAACTTGGACATTATGAAGGATATTTGAACAGCAGATCTAACCTAGTTGCTTAAGCATAAACTAATACAGAAAAAAAAAATGAAAGTCATACCATAACCGTGCATACCAAGAATATCCTCAGTTCAGTGCTTGCCTCTGGGAGGACTGAGGCGGGTAAAGATGTTAAGGGCATGACAGGTGAGCTCTGGGAAGTTGGTAGAGATGCAGTGTGATTTACTGGGCTACATGTAGGCCTCTTGAGGGAGAAGGATTTTGGCAGTGAAGAATATGAAATAACTCAGATCTTATTGCCAAGAGTTTTCATTTTACCATCTATTTTCTCTTTCTCCTTGCTTTTTCTCCTAGCTCAGTTAATTACTTATGATATGGAAATGTTTGTTCGGTGTGGATGAAAGCCTTGATTTTCCTATTTTAAGTTTTAATTAAAGGTGCTTTGTATGATACTCTATCAAGATTTTCAATGGATCAAAGTTGGCTTTTCTTTCATGTACACAGTTTATTTTCCCTGGTGGAGTTAGTGATCTTTGGAGGGAAACTTCCCTCTCCTGAAATAACAGAGTAGGAGCATGAGATTGCTACTGCTGCTGTTAAGGTTTGAGTGTAAGCTGCCTAATGATGGTGAGTGCAGGTGTGCGTTTAAAGACCCGCCGAAAGAGGTGGTTGGGAATGGTGAGCTTGATTGAGGGCTCATGTGCTATTTGCAAGGCCTGTTTCTCCATGACCTGCTTTTTAGTTCTGAGGCTGCTCTAATTTATCTTTATAAGTATTATAGTGCTTATATTACTTTAAATACATAATGAAACACATAAAATATTAGTTAACTTATGTGGCAAAGGACTTGAGTGCATGTTTCCTAACAGGTAAGACTTGAATTAATGGAAAAATGTTCTTTCAGGTTTCTAAGTAAATGGGAAACCTAAATAGCATAAATATGTCATAAATATGACATAAATATGTCCATTCCAAAGGAATTAGAAGTTACAGAAGTGATATATTACAGGCCCTGTCATAATAACTAGTTATGATCACTAGTTAGGCTGTTTTCTATATTTTCCATCTTTTTAGAGCCAGACCATTTTTTCAGATCATTCCTAGAAATTTTAATTTGTTACATATATGTAGATGTAGTTGTCCCTTTATATCCATCGATTGGACCAAGTGTGGATTGAAAGTATTCAGAAGAAAGAAATGTACCTTTGCTTAACATTTATACTTTTTTCTTGTCATTATTTCCTACACAGTGCAGCATAGCAACTACATGCATGCCATTTATAGTATATTAGGCATTATGAATAATTTAGAGATGATTGAAGAAAACATAGGCAAAGGGTTGCCAGGTCTGTTGACATGTATCTATAGTTCCACCCCTCGGAAGACTTAAACTGGAGGACGGCTTGAACCCAGGAATTCGTACTCACCCTAGAAAATCCTGGCTCAAACAACAACTGCTAATATGATGGTACATTCTTGTAATCCTAGCACTTGGGAAGATCATCCTCAACTATATGGGAAATTCAAGGCCAACTTGGGCTACATAAGATCCTGCCTCAGCAGCAACAAAAATCCTTAGGAAATATCCATAGACTTTATGGGAATGCTTTGACATTTCAGTCTTGATTTGGATATCTGTGAAGAATCCTGGAACTAGTTCCTCATGAACAGTGAAGGGAGGCTTTATAGGTAGTATTTCATTTCGCTCCTCAGGTACCAGGGAATGAAATGTTGTAGCTTCCTGTTTTTCTTTCAGAGGTACAGATTAATAGAATTGCCTTATAGTTACTGGTTTACTTATTCAAATGGTAGGCATGGAGTCAGGGGCTCTTGGTTCTGAGTTTCTGTCTTAGGATACTAAGCTGTTTGTTTAACCTCTTAGCACTTCCATTTTCAGAATAATCTTTGTACTGCTTATACTCTTTCAGTACTTCTAAATATCAAATATCCTGAATCTGAAAGTTGTTAAGTGACCATAAAACCAATGTAAATATTAGGCATAATAATTAGATTAGGGTTCATTTAGATAGAGTCCAGACCTCCTAAAGAGTACGTTAACTCTTGGAATATTCAGTACAAACTAGACTGGCTAATATTGTCAGTTCTTAGATTTACCCATCTTTTGATGTTGTTGTTTGTTTTGTTTCGTTTTGTTTTGAGACAACATCTCCGCTTTGTAGTCCTGGCTGACCTGGAACTTGCTATGTAGATCAGGCTGGCATTGAATTCAGATCTGCCTGCATCTGCCTCCTGAGTACTGGGATTAAAGGTGTGCACTATCATGCCTGGCCAGGCTTAAACATCTTAATGTTTGTTTATAATTTTTTTAAAAGACCCACAAGTTTAGCATAGTGGTACTTACCATTATACTTAGAGGCAAGCAGAAGGATCCTGAAACTGATACAAAACAGAACAATAAAAGGCATAGGATAATGACCAAAGTACATGATATAATTAATTATATGAAAATGTCTTTATAAAGCACATAACTATGTGAAATGAGTATATGCTGATAAAAAATTATTAATTAAAAAAACAGTACTACCACAAAACCCAGCACCCACTGAAACTCCCAGAAGCCAGTTTATAAAAATTATATTTTTTTATTAATTTCCAGATAAAAATGTCTTATCTCACTTAGTAAGTTGCACTGTTGTTATCACCTTTGCTTTATTTAGTGGTTTTCATTAGCAATCTGTAGAAAACCAAGTCAGGGTTTCTCTGTGTAGCCCTGGCTGTCATGAAACTCACTCTGGCCTCAAACTCACAAAGATCTGCCTGCCTCTGCCCCCAGAATGCTGGGATTAAAAGCTTGAGCCACCATGCCCAGCTGAATCCTGCTTTTTGATAAGATTACTTTAAGCAGGTTTATGTTATTAACCAGACATATTTATTTTGTTGATGTGAGTATAAACCCAAACCAAGGAAATATTAAGGCCCTGGTAAGAAGAGTCCATCCAGCTAGGTTTGATAGCATATTTATAATCTTAGCAGTCAAGGTCAGAGCTAGACTGCAGAGTGAGCCTCTGAAATGAAAAAGACCTGCTTCTGCAACTCCACCCACTGAATTAGTTAACAAGCCTAATCTTCAACAACAGGGACCATCCTTTATTCCTGCTTAATATTCCTAGCACCTAGAACAGGGTGTGGCACATAACAAATGCTCAATGACAAGCTCCATTGGAATAGATGTGGTGACTCTTACCATGAGTGCTCTCTTGAGAGCACATTCTTACTGAGTGGTACTTCTCTGATGCTCTGTACAGGCTCTGTACAGTTCTTAGGTTGTGTTTCCTCAGTTTGTGTTCACATAGCTCTGTGAAGTAGGTGGCGCTGCATTTAAATGAAGATATTGAAACTTACATTTTTAATAACAATGACACCGTCCTGATCTACAAGACTGAGTAGCCACACTTGAAACTCTATCGTGTTATACCATGTGCCACGTCATCATCTTGCTGTAGAGAAGCTGCCAGTGTACTTGAAGCGCTTTTGGGGTTTGTTTGTTCAGGAGACTGACATGGGTAAAGATAGAATATGACAGAAGTCTACCTGGCCTCCAGGTTGTATTTCTGTGTGTTACAAAGCATCATTTGGTAAATCTGGAGATACACATATTTTTTTTTTCTGGCTGCTGTAGAAAGGAATAATTTACCTATTTACTTGAAGTATGGGGGATTAGACCAATGAAGGTATTCTGGTTAGTTTTTTGTCATGCCTGACCCAAACTAGAGTCATTTGGGAACAGGGAACCTTAATAGAGAAAAATGCCTCCATAGGATTAGCCCACAGGCAAATCTGTGGGGAATTTTCTTGATTACTGATTGATGTAAGAGCAGCCAGACTTGGGCAGTATTTGGGCAGTACTACCTCTGGGCAGGTGGTCATCCGTTGTGTAAAAAGCAAACTATGAAAGCAAATGAGTAAAAGGCATTCCTCCATGGTCTCTGCTTCAGTTCCTGTCCTGACCTCCTCATGAACAACAATGATGTAGTATAAACCAAATAAGCCCTTTCTTCCCCAAGTTGTTTTTGGTCAAAATGTTTATCACAGCAATAAAAAGCAAATTATAACATATATGCCAGGCAAGTTCTCTAACATTAAGCTATATCTTCTGCCTCCAAAAAGAATTTTTCTAGATGGCTTAGATATTTCAGCAGACAGCAGTTACCCTTGGTCACTGGGCCTGATTTGGCTGTATTGAAACACACATGATACCTTAATGTCTGGGCTTTCAAACAAACAGCATCAGGGCAGACAGATCTCAGACTGTCAATAAAATCACTTACGGAACTGCTGTAAAGTCTAGGACATATAGGGACTCATTGTACTACTTTACCAACTTTGGTGTGATATGAATTGTTTTCACAATACAAAGTTGGGGGAATTCTTTCTTAGAAAAGGAAATTAATAATTATACTGAGAAGTTTTTTTACTTTTTTGTTTTGTTTTTGCTTTTAAGTTAAATGATTTCTGTGAGGGCAGGCAAAAAAAGAAAATGCCAGGGTACCCATGCTTTTTCATATATATCCTTTTGTACTTTGGGCAGAGAGATCTTTGTATTATTGCCCATAAAGTATGACCTTTTATTTGTGGTTAAGAAAATACGATTGCGGTGGTACAGCCTTTAATTGTAGGAGGCAGGTCTCTTGAGTTTGAGCCCAGCCTAGTCTACAGAGCAAGTATGAGGACAGCCAGAGCTGCACAGGGAAGCCTTGTCTCAGAAAGAAAGAAAGAGATGGGGGAGGAGGAAGGAAGGAAGGGAGGGAAGGAGGAAGGGAGAAAAGGAAGGGAAAAAGAAAGTAGGTTTATTGAATATACTGCAAGGGGTAGCTGGCCAGGTGGGAACAAGAGTCTTGCCCACCTTTATCAGCAAAGAAAGTGACAGGTTTTTAAAGCTGCCTTGCATTCCTGTGCAGGTTTGTTTTACAAGTGAATAGAAATGTTTCATCTTTGTTTCATCTGTGAACTAATGATTGGCAAATAGTATCCAGCTGCCATTTCATGTCCTGATGCATTTTGACATGACTTTATAACTCATAAAAATTACATTTATGGATGAATCAAAAAAATGTAGAATATAAAAGTCACTATCAGAAGAACACTGTATTTTAGCCACACATGCTAGTACATGCCAATACATGCCTGTAATCCCAGCACTTGAGAGATAGAGACAGGAGGATCAAGGATTCAGGGCCAGCTTGAACTGAATGAAAACCCTGCATCAGAAAGACAAAAACAAAAAGAAACAAACAAAAAAATCATCATTTATTTTAAATTGTGCAATTTAAAATTGCTTATTTACTTAGGAAGCTTTATTAGATTAAAATACTAATTTTTTAAAATCAGATTTACTATTTTTTAAATATTTCTAATTAAGCTACTTTTTTAAGAGTATGTTCAAGAAGAAGCAAAAAAGCTGGGTGTGGTAGTGCACACTTTTAATCCTAGCACTAAGAAAAGCAGAGGCAGGCCAATTGCTGTGAGTTCCAGGCCAGCCTGGTCTACAAAGAAAGTCTAGGACAGCCCAGGCTACATAGACAAACCCTGTCTGGAAAAACAACAAAGGAGAAGAAGCAGCAGAAGCAGCAAATAAATAAAATGAATGAATGAATAAAGGAATAACACTCCTGAAAGAATATCTCTGCGACTGGGAGACAGCTCAGGGGAAAACATAAGGACTTGAGTTTAGATCCCCAATATCCATATAAAGTCTGGACATGGCAGCACGCTACTGTGATCTCTGCTCTGGGGAGGCAGAGGCGGTAGATCCCAGCGTTTATTGGCCAGCTATTTGAGCCAACTCCGTGAGCTTCAGGTGCAGTGCATGGCAGTGCTCAAAAATAAAGTGGGGGGCAACTGAAGAAGACACTGATATTGACCTATGGCTTCCCATAGGCCCCCGCATTTTCCTGCACACACCCCCCCAACACACACACACACACACACGAATATTCTGCTGATCACAGAGACAATAATAGTCGCTACAAAAGAAAGAATAAGTTAGACTTCATCAAACTGAGAAGCAGCTATCCATAAAAAGAAAATGTTAGCATGGCCTGGGGAAAATATTTGTAAAGTGTATGAAGGAAAGTCAGCCTGTACCCAGATGTATAACAAATACCTGCAACTTAGTAGTAAACAACCCAATGAGGAATAAGCTTGAAGACTTCACAGAGAGTTATGTGGTCAGTGCACACACAGCAAAGCACTCACCGCTGCTATTAATCCCAGGGATGCAGATTAAGTCACTGGACAGCCACAGAGAGGCACGGGATGACTAAGTTCAAGAGAGGTGACGTACCAAAGGAGGCACGGAGCAGCCAGAGAGGGCACTCAGACATTGTTCACAGAAGTGCAGGAAGAGAGCTTGCAGTGCTTTAGCAGTGCGGAGACATGGTCTACACACGTGAGTTTGGAGAACCACCAACACAGCCAGCTGCCCAGCATTCGAGTCCCCACCCCGCCCTCAAAGCTAGTGCTTTTTTTTCTACCCCAGAACCAAGCAGATAGACCTGCCTCTGACAGCCGGTCTTGCCTATTCCAGGGTCTCACATGAACAGAGTCAGGGTGTGGCATCTTGCACTGTTGATGCTTAGCAAACGTTCTGAGATTCTTTGATGGTTATATGTATCCTTAGGAACTGTTATTCATTTTCCACACTAGTTGAAGACTTAAAAGCAAAACAAAACAAAAGCCTCAAGACAGTGGTTATCCCTAACAACAATAACAAGGTGACCAGAATCAACCACAGAGAGGTGTAGGGGAACATTCTGGCAAATAGAAAGTCCTCTCTTGTGATAGAATTACAAAGATACTGTATTTTGCCAAGATTATACTGCTGATATTTAGATATATGTAAATTTTATTTGGAAAAAATATTATTAAAGATAAAAAACAAGCTGGGCGTGGTGGCACATTCCTGTAATCCCAGCACTGGAGGAGGCAGAGGCAGGCAGATTGATTTGAGTTCAAGACCAGCCTGGTCTACAAAGTGAGTCCAGGACAGCCAAGGCTACGCAGAGAAAACCTGTCTCAAAACACCTAAATAACTAAATATTAAAATTAAAAAAATAAGCCAGGTTTGGTGTTGAATTCACTTAATTCCAGCACTCTGGAGGCAGCAGGTGGATCTCTGTGATTTGTAAGCCATCCTGGTCTATATAGTGAGTTCCAGGACAGCAAGGGCTACATAGTGAGACCCTGTCTCAAAAAAAGCATGAAATAAAATAAGTAAAATTTAAAACATAAAAACAATGGAGCAGAGATGTAGAGAATGAGTATAAGTTGCAGAATATTGCAGAATAGCAGAGATTTCTTCAACAAAGCAGACCAGAGTCTGTTTTTGTGTGAGTGGTAATGCAGAGAGAGTAGAGAAAGAGCTTTGGAAATCCAGCAGAAGTGAAAAATCCCAGGAAAAGGGCAGAAAAGCAAAAGATGGTAAACCAAGCAGTAGGGACCGTGCAAGGGCAGTGGAAGCCATGCAGAGGGCTGTGGGGGTGAGGAGAGGATTCAGAAGATATTCTACAGATGGAGCGTTTAAGAACAAGCTGCAGCAGGGCAGTAGTTGCACATGCCGTCAGATCCAGATAACCTAATGCTGCAACCCCAGGGTAGAAAATGGAAAGACATAGTAAAGATGGGGCAGATGTTAGTGAATCGCATACTGAAAGAACAAAATGTAGCTTCAGACAGTTGGTTGTTTGATAAATAATCAAGATTGACAAACCCATGGCCAAATTAGCCAAGAGAAAGAGGGAAGACACAGAAATTAGAGATGAAAAAAAAAAAAGGGAGGTTACCACAAGATCCAAAATACAGAAAATTATTTGGGGGTACACTTGAAAACTTATGTTCCAAAACAACAGAAGATCTTTTAAGAAGTTGGTAAATTTCTAGAAATGTATGACCTACAAAACTAAATTAAGGTATAAACACCTTAAGGCAGTAACAATCAAGGAGACTGAGGCTGTAATCAAGTCTCGAATAAAGAGAGGTCCAGGACCAGATGGCTTCAGTGCTGAACTGTACAAGCCTTTAAAGAGGAACTAGCACCAGTGCCCCTCAGACTGTCCATTGAAAGAGAAAGGACACTGCCAAACCCAGCAGAGAAGGATAATGTTTTTGTTTGGATGAGGACCTCTATTTGCATGTGTGTGAAAGTTAGCAAGAGGAGCAGGAAGGTGGAGGAGAGATCTTAAGGAAAATGGAAACAAAGGGCTGTAGAACAAACACCTGTGATGATAAAGCAGAAGAGGGATTAACAGGAGAGGAAAAAAACAGCCGGAAAGGAAGACAGGAGGGATGTGGACTGGTGACAACGACACGTCTTGGCACATGAGTATGGAGAGGCTGTGAGATGAAATCTACTGCCTTGTAAGCTGGCATTAAAGTTGGATACAGCAAAACCAAAATTGAGCAGCTGAAAGTGAACTCTGAGTGTGGGGCCTCATACTGTCTGTTTGCTTTGTTCCTATTTGGATTTTCTTGTTAAAAAGCTCAGAGAATGCTCTCTTAGCTCTAATGTTTACGTGACCAAGTGTCATGAGAATGTTTGTTAATAGAACTGTGACTGGTTAATTTCAAATGCTACTTTAAAAAAATACATAAAGCCTCATAGTAACAAGTAACACTTATTTTGGACAGCCATGAAGAACTGTACTCAGGCCGTCCTTATGGAGCCCTTGATTCAGGCTTCAATAGTGTGGATAGTGGTGATAAGAGGTGGTCAGGGAATGAGGTAAGTGTCTCTGCTCATATGTTAAAATTCCTGATTTAGAAAAAAGTAATTTAATGAATGGGAATATCTAAATTGGAATGAGTTTGTTACGTAAAATAGAGAAATATCAAAGATAGGCCAAAAACACCCATAGTCCTAGCATCTGAGAATTCTACAGTGTTTCTTTTTCCCAGCATTTTTTGCCACATGTCTTTTTACAAGTTTACCTCATCTTGGGTGTGGATATTCTGGAAAGCTGAATAGGAGTTGAGGTGGTTGGAACTGAAGCCTAGTTGGCTGTGGTAGCACATCTCTATAATCCTAGCTCTGAGGAAGCTGAGGCAGGAGGACCATGATCTGAAGATAGCCTGACCTAGGTAGTAAGTTCCAGGACAGCTTGCACTGCATAGCAAGTCACTGTCTCAAACAAAACCATAAAAACCTGGCATCTAGACCTTGAGGGCTAGGGTGATCTGAAACAGAGATGGTGAAGGAAGGGGTGCTGGGAACTGGAAACGTAAATAGGACTGTAAACTAATGGCTTACAGAGATAGAACCTGAGCTTCAGATGTTAGCTCAGTGGTGGAGTCGTCCCTAGGCAGGCCCTGGCATCAGTTCCTAGTGAGTGCACTCACATGCCACAAATTACATGGGTTTTCGGTTTGGTTAATTAGTAGTATTAGACTTTCTGTCGTTTAAAATTACTAGGATGTATTTTAGCTACTAGTTAAATGACTATGCTTTTGCTAGAGGGCCTGATAACAGACTTTATAATGTTGTTTTATTAAGAGTCCAAAACAGAAGCCTGGTGCAGTAGCACACGCCTTGAATCCCAGCTCTCAGGAGGCAGTGGCAGGTGGATCTCTGAGTTCCAGGCTAATCAGGACTATATGATGAGTTCCAGGCCAGCCAGAGCTACATAGTCAAACATAAATAAGTAAACAAATCAGATAAATAAGTAAGCCAAAACAAAATTAAATCACAACTTACTTAAAATTTGTAGTTAAGTGTGTATATATGTCTTGGTGACTGTGATCTTGGATATTACAATGTATAAAAATGTAGATAATTTAAACCCATGTATATATTTACTTACAATTTTGAATATCTTTCTGCTTTGTTAGTTGTGGTACAGTTTGCCTATTTAAAATACATATTTCAGTTGCATTAATTATATTCACCTCATTATATAATATTCACTGTCAATATCCAGAACTTTTTTGCTTTTTCTTCTTCTGTGTAAATTTAGTTTATATCTAAAATTGGAAATGATGGTTATTAACGTTTCTGCTTTTTAAGCCTACAGATGAATTTTCAGATCTGCCTCTCCGAGTGGCAGAGATTACTAAAGAGCAAAGACTGCGGAGAGAAAGCCAGTACCAAGAGAATCGCAGCAGTGTGGTAGTCACAAATGGCGGAGGTAAATGTAACTCTGATGACATTAAAGCCTTTATAGTTAGCTTGCTTTATAAAGGGGTCTCCTGTAACCCTGGCTGGCCCAAACCCCTTACATAGCCAAGAATGATTCTGAACTTCTGATCCTCCGCCTGACCTGCCTGTCCTCCCCAGCCCTGGGAGTATAGCTGTGGTCCACCACTCCTGGTCTTGTAGGGCCTTGTGCATGGCAGGTAGGCAAGGACTTAATCAACTGAGCCCGGCTCCTACCTTACCTGTTTTGTTGTTGTTAAGGGAGAAACTTTTTATTGGCTCAGCGTTCCAGAGGCACCCAGTCCATCATGGTGAGGAAGGCATGGCGGCAGAAGTAGGAAGCTGCTGGTCACCTTGCCTTTTTGAAGTGGTCTTTGTCACAACCACTCTTTTGTTTGCTTATTAGCTCCTTCACTCTTCTAAAGACTTCTGTTTATTTATGACAAAAAAAAAAAAGTTTACCATTGGGATGAAAATTCACTTTCTTTGTATTTTCAGTTTGTAATTAAAATTGTTTCTCTCATGTAATTAAAAATGTCCCTCTCATTTAGGGGGAAATTTAGGAAGGACAGTTTATCTGGAGTAGATCTTTGTTAATCTTGATCTTACTACAATCTTCTGAAATAACATTGTCTCTTTTTAAGATTCTCCATTTTAAAGCAATTTCTTGAGCTCTTTGAGCAATCGATTGTGCCTGTCTGCCTGTGTTTGTTTTTAGCTTTCTAAAGTAAAGTTATTTATTTATTGGCAAGGACTTTGCCACCACAGCCATGATGGGGGCAGATAGCTTGCTCTCTCCTTCTACCTTGCAGATTCCAGGTCGTCAGGATTGGTAGCAAATGCTTTGGCCTGCGGAGTCATTTAGCTAACACTGTTTAAAACTGAGTTTTCACCCCATTATCCAGGCTGACTTCAAGCTCCTGGATTCATGTCAGCCTCTTGAGCAGCCAGGACCATAGGTGTCTACCAGCGTGTCCATCTTCCACGACATACCTTAATGTTCTCTTTGTTTTCCATTTGGTATAATGTTCTTGGGGCTTCTGAATCCTACCTGTTCTTATTCTGACACTTAGAACATAGAGGTTGTTTTTATAAAATAAACAGAGTTTTCTCTGCTTCCATGAACTTCTGAAGCAATTTAGAATTCTACTCTGTGTTCTTATAATTTGAATTTTAAAGCCTAATGTTCTAATTTTGAGGGCCAATGCTGAGGGAGAAATTACATAGATCTTTCTGGAAATGTATAATGTTCTTGAGAAGTGCTTTCATTTCTAAGTCAGTTATGTTTTGTCCTCTCTGGCTTCGTTTTTATTCCTGTCACCATTCCATTCATACCTTAGTTATTTTATTTTAAATTTTGTTCTCATATGAGTTATCTGTACCATTATTTTATTTAAGACTTAGCATCATTTCCAGCTGTGCTTTTTAGTCTGTATCAACTAGCCCCATGTGGTTATTAAGCATTTGAAATGTGCATTTGCAGGCTGGGGAGATGGCTTCAGTGGATAAAATACTTACTGTAGAAGCACAGGGAGCTGAGTTCTATCCCAAGCACCCACATAAATGTCAGGCAGTACACATCTGCAACTCCAGCCCTTGGTGAGCAGAGACAGGCCGATCCCGGAAGCACAATGGACAACCACTTTGACAAAAAGTTAAGCTCCAGAGTTCATGAGAAAATCTGTTTCTGAAAATAAGGTGGAGTGCCAGTGAGGTGGTTCACTGGGTACAGGTACTTGCAGCCAGTTTTTGTGACTTGAGTTTGATCCCTGAAATTCACATGATGGGAGGAAAGAACCAGTTTCTGCAGGTTTCCTTCTGACATCCACATATGTACCATGGTATAATGTCCCCCCTCCAAAATAATAAATGAGACTTCTGTGCGTGTGCTGTAACAAATAATAAATGTGACCTCCACACCTCTGCCGCAGCATGTGTGTCCCCCTGAATAATGTTGAAAAAAAAAGATATTGGCTTACTAAAAATAAGGTGGCTAACAATAAAAACCTGATGTCAGCCTCTTGCCTCCACATGTGCACACATGTACACATACATTGACACACACACTTGCACACATGCATACGCCACAGGTATATCCCACATACAAATTTAGAAGCCTGAGATGTGGCTTTTCTGAATCGAGATGTAACTACAAGATCTTCATCAAATTTTGACTGCTGATCTGGATAGTATGAAAGTTTAATGTCACTTTCTTGAGAACTGGTCATATGTAATCTATTTAGTAGGAGAAATTATAGTACATGGAATGAATGAATGAATGTTTCAGATTTCTAATGTAATGTTACCATATAACCTTTTTATCCTTTTAGATCTTAATAAACGTATAACACAAATTCAATTTAGTATTAACTGCAGTTCAGTTAAATTTAGAGTTCCAGCAGAGTGGAACAGCATGTAATAGTGGCTGGAGTTTAATGCATTGTTTGAGAAACTTCTTCACAGCCAGATCTTTCTCAGAGCACTATTTATTTTTAACTAGTTGTTAAAAGTAGTTAGCTTTAACCTGAAATTACTGGGGTTATCCAGAAGCGCACCAGATGAAGCAATAATATGGCTCTATCTTTAGTTGCCTTCCTTTCCTCTAAATCTCTTTTAATGGAGTAGTCATTTTGTTTAATAAGTTATAAAATACACTTTTTGAGACAGGTTTCTCTGTGTAGCCTTGGCTGTCCTGGACTCACTTTGAGGACCAAGCTAACCTGGAACTCACAGAGCTCCTCCTGCTTCTGTCTCCCAAGTGCTGGGATTACAGATGTGCACCACCACACCTGGCTTAGTATTTGAGTTTTTAATAAAGTATCTTGAAAAGAAAAAATCTTTCAGATGGCTTCCTTTCACTCACAGACTACTGTAAAACATGTCACACACTGACCTCTAGGAAGTCATTTTCTAAATAGGGAGATGTTTGTTCTCATTTTTTCTTAAGTTTGAGCTACAAGAAGGGAAACAGTAAGTTTCTTCTCCAACTCCAGACAAGTTTCTTTTTATCCTGTGCCTGTTTTGTTGTCTTCTACTTTCTTTTGAGTTAACTGTTAAATTTTCTGAACCCAAACTAATGAGAAGATGATACAGCCTTCAGTCTTTAAACAACAGCCATCTTCTCTATCTCAGACTCAGACTGCCCTGTTTAAAACACTAAAGATCCATCCAGAGAAAATAAACGTCAAGGGTCTGTACTTCCGTGACTCACCCCCAGTTGTTGTATTCTTCAGTGTATTTGGACTAAGGTTTTCAAGAGGCAATTTTTGCAAGGGGCCGAAGACTAAATAATAAATACTTGTTTCATTGGGACATCTTTTTTTCTGTGTGTACAACAGAAAAGGGAATGTGTAACTTAAGCAAATGTCTTTTATTAGCTGTTTAACTTTGAATCTGTGTGTGTGTGTGCTTGTGTGTATGTGCAGTGCAGCATGATCTGGATCACATTGACTACATTGACAGCTGTACTACAGAAGAAGAGGAAACTGATGTCAAACAACCCAAAGGCCTGGATACAGACAGTCTCAGCTCACAGTTTATGGCATATATTGAACAACGGCGAGTCTCCCATGAGGTAGTAGTGTACCCATTTAGTCCAAATATGCTACTGTCCCCTACTGAAAACAATCACGATATCAGAGCAGTGATTTATTGATTTAGGCTTAATTATTTTATTTTCTCTTCTGATTTTATTCCTGGATTTTTCAGACTTAATTTGGAAAAATCAGGAAGTAGTCTCAAAAGCGATTCAAGTTTTATCCTTCAAATAAGAAGGCAAATTTCATTTGTTTGAAGATGCATTGAAAGGACATCTGAGAGTGGCCTCAGGCCTTTGGAGAAAGTGCTTGGGATAGAATATTTTCATTGTTACATTGTTTGGCTTTCTGGCTGGTCTTTTTGCTTGATTGCTTTGCTTCTTTGTTATTGCTAATTACAAATCATAGTTTGATAGATAATTAATTAAACCAAAGTTGAGTTTTGAGGAAACATTCATCTTACCCATAGATATTAATAAGTTTAATTATACTAGTGCTTTTATCCTAAGTTAACAGAATATAAATTGTTTGCTATTAAAATTCTTGGTGTCTCTTATAATGAAGTATTCAGTTGCCTAAAAAACAAGTAAGCATTCAGACCACTGTAGAATCTCTGCCAATTCCTCAAGGGTCTCAAATAGAATAGCATTCTTCAATCTCTCTAGTCAGCATAGTAAAATGGCTTCATTTTAGTGTGTGATGTGTTGCTGTCTGGAGTTTGTCCCAGGCTCTGAGCAGGGGTTGTTTGAGAAACACTAGGGGCCTTTCTGAAGACTGATGTATACAACTTTTAGAAATCAAGGATCAGTTGCTTCAAGGGGAGTACATTGTGGAGTAATAGCATTCCTTAAAAGAATCCTTTGGTTCCTGTTTAAGGCTTTGAACACAGTCATTTTTGTTGCAGTTCAGAAGACACTTGTTTCTAAAATCAGATAAAATCACATAAATCAAATCCTGTAGCCAAGTGATAGACCAGTGATTGATAAAACTGCCTTGTGGTTCAAGCTGTTAGTCTTTCTGCTGGAGCCAAGAGTACCTTTCTAATAAAATAAGTTAATAATGCTACATAATACTCTTTAGAAAAATCCTTTTTCTTCTCCTCTCCTCTTCTTATTTAATCACTTTATAATGAGCTAGGTTGTCTAAGTAAGGTGTCTCTACAGAACAATAGACACTGCTTACTGGCCTACTGAGCATTGTGGTATCACTCTTTCACTAACACACTGTAGAGGCTCCTTTTAGTGTTTTTAAGCTCTATCTACCTCTTGTGTGTGGTAGCCATAATGATTCTATGCCATAAAATTTTTGGCATTTTTGTATCATATAGCTTTCTAAAATTGAACAGTTTGTAAAAGTATGATGAAGCAGTTAGTTTAAATGGTTTAGCAACCTGTAAAAGAGAAGCTAATGAAGTAACACAGCAGATGCAGTTTAGCTTATAAGTAGATGAGTTCTGACATGTTTTTGTTGTTGTTGTTGTTGTTTGGTTGGTTTTTGAGACAGGGTTTCTCTGTGTAACCTTGGCTGTCCTGGAACTCACTCTGTATACTGGGCTGGCCTTGAACTCACAGAGACCCATCTGCCTCTGCCTCCCAAGTATTAGGATTAAAGGTATGTGCCACTATCTCTGTGTCTGTAAGCTTCTTATTATTCTGAAAATGTTACTCTGCTTAATTACTAATTTCTATAATACAATGGAAAAGGAACCTTGTAAATAAAGTACACATTCATAGATGCGTAGGTTGCCAGGCTTGCACAGCCAGTGCCTTTACACACTGATCCATCTCACCAGCCCTTGCTTTTGTTTTCTGAGAGAGAGTCTTGCTGTGTTACCCAGGCTGTCCTTTTGCCTCAGCTTCTTGAGTGCTAGAGTTCCAGGCATGCACCATCACAACCTGCTAGCAAGCTGTTAAGCATAGAGCTCACAAAGGGAAATTCCATCAAAATAATGTTTGGTGTACCGTTTCCTAAAAGTCAAACTAATTGGCAAATAAAAGTACAACATTTTGATATTATGTACGTTAAATGTATTTACGGACTTTTTTTTTTCTTCGCTTTTTTGGTCTAGGCTTCACCAGTAAAGCCAATAGCTGTTAGAGAATTTCAAAAAACAGAAGACATGAAAAGATACTCACATCAAAACAGGTTTGAAAAAGCAATTCAACTTAATTCTTTCTGTCTTGAAACTTAATAGGACTGTGAATGATTTTGGTTTTTTGCCAAATATTCTCACAATATAATATAATGAAGATGTATAATATAATAAAGATGTATAATATAATGAAGATATTTGGCTTATGTGTGCTTTAGAAGCTAGCGTTTAAAACTAGATTAGTCTGCATTTGTGCCAACACCATTTTTAAAAAGAGTAAAAATAAGTTGATTCCAAATCCAGATTATTACTTTAGAATTAAATGATTTGAAAGTAGGTAGTGGTAATAAATTTTTGTGAAGGTAAATGTTTATGTATAGAAAATCTAAAGATTTTTCAAAAGCTCTATTTTATAACATATTTTTGACTAGGTAATTGAACAGATTATATATATTATCATTCTTCAGTTTATACAGTCTGTACTTAGAGTCTCCCTATTTCTAAAATTAGCTCAATGCTATTCTTCATTCTATAATTCCAAAATGTTGCTGGCTATAAGCTGTATCACAGTAGATAATTTTTCATTTCAGTCTTTGGTCTTTGTGGATGAAATCTTAAAAACAGTAGGTTTGGTAAATGTTCTTGTATTGTTTTGTTTGTTTGTTTTTCAAGTCAGGGTTCCTCTGTGTAGCCCTGGCTGTCCTAGAACTCAATCTGTAGGCCAGGCTGGCCTTGAACTCAGAGATTTGCCTGCCGGTGCCTCCAGGTCTCCATGTGCCTGGCATGATATGTCTGCTCTTAAGTAACAGTGAATTTACTATGTAGCATCTGAAATGCGTCCTTGCGTCTTTATACCAAACAGCATGCTAATTTTGTTTCAGGAACCATGATTTAGATGGAATAAAGAAAATGTAATTGTATTGTATTGTGTTACAGCTCTGAGTGGATAGGTATCCTGGCAGTTGGTAGCCAAGGAATACGACAAAGTCACACCTTACAGCAAACCTCACCCAAGAGATTTATTGGGAAAGACACAGGAGGGAGGTGGCTGCCTCTGCTCTGGAGAGAAGCAGCAAAGAACTGGACAGGAGGCAGGCTAAAGTCAGGGTTTCTTGGTCGGGGGTAGCTTTCTAGGGTTGAAGGAATTGTGTAACCTGATCTTGGGGCAAGCTCAGGTATTGGTAGAATTTTGTGGCCCAATCTTGGGCTCTTTTTTTTCCCCCCTGTAGGGCAAAGTCTGGCCACTCTTCTGCCTCAAAGAGTTGGAAGGACTGGAAATAGCCATTAGAGAAATCTGGCAGGGAGGCGGCTCCAGAATCAATCTTCATAATAAAAAAAATTCTAAAAGTATAAAGTAGACCAGTGTTCCTCAACAAAACTCAGCGCCACACCTTAGACACTATTGAAAATATATTTATTCCTTATGGGAATCAGTTCCCAAAATGACTGTAGGTTCTACTAAGGCCAAACCACCTCTAATGTGAGAGACAGTCTTATAAATTATCTTACGTGAAATGTGAGTGATGCTGTTGTTGTGAAACATCCAGTGAAAAGACCCTATGGCATGAAGTATGAAAGCAGTGCGCCAGAAGGAACAAAGCTGTGGCAGACCCTCAGCACGCCAAGCCATGCACCGGAGAGCGGGTGCGCCAGATGTCCCCTCCACTGGCTCTTGCATCTTCCCACTTGGTCTCCATCTTAACTTCTCATAGCTCAGGTGGTGACATGCAGCCCCAGGGCACTTCCCTTTCTCAGCTGCTCTGTGTTAAGTGGGGATGATAGAGTAGGAAGAGCTCAGCTACTCGGTAGGAAGCGTGGGTTCTAGTTCAGGCTCAGGCGTGTAACCATTCAGCCCCAGGGGGCTCCTTTTTCTCAATTGTAAAAGTCTTTAGTGGCTTATACAGTATAGCACGGTATCTCACGTCCCTTCCAGTTCTTACAGAGTGCATGGTAATTGAGGACATAAAATCAAGTTTCAAGTCTATCTCTACAACGTATTGACTAAGTCACCCTTGGAAAGTCACACTGTTTCTATGGCTGAAATCTCTTAGTTTGTTACCGAGGATTATAGACGTTCTTCATTCAAAGGGTTGTTGTGAGGTGTAATCTGGAACACAGGTGTGTGGGTACCTAGTACAGTAGCTGGTAAGAACTCAATGAGTATTTTTCCTGTCTGTCCCAGAAAGATGTTTTCCCCCCAAAATGACATGGGCTTTATTTTATTTTATAAATGAAAAAACTTATTTCACAAGTGTATCAAAGGGAGAAGTCCTGGGCTGACAAGATGGCTCAGCAGGTAAATGCACTTGCCACCAAGTCTGACAACTTCAGTTCAAGCCCTGTAAGCCACACGGTGGAGAAGAGGATTGACTTTTATGAATTTCCTCTGATTTCCAGGCAGAGGTGCACATACCCACACACATAAACAAAATTAATCAGTAAATGTGATCTACAACTTCTAAGAGGATATCACAATTTTAAAATAAAAATAAGAAGAAACCAAAAATTTTTAGATTTTTTTTTTTTTTCATAAATTGGAATCTGTGTTAGTAAGGGTTTCTGTTGCTGTGGTAAAAACCACAATCAAAAGCAACTTGGGAGGGAAAGGGTTTATTTCACGTTAGTTTTTAAGTCCATCACTGAGGTAAGCTAGGGAGGGAAATTAGGTCTTGGAAGTAGGAACTGAATGAAGCAGAGGCCATGGAGGAGTGATACTTAGTGTCTTGCTCCCTGTGGCTTGCTCAGCCTGCTTTCTTCTAGAACCCAGGACTGCCAGCTTAGAGGTGGCACCACCCGAGGTGGGCTGAGCTCCGCCACAACACTAAAAAAATGCCACATGTGCGTACCTGTTGGCAAATCTGGTGGGGGCATTTTCTCAGTTCAGACTTCTTCCCAAATGACTCTAGCCTGTGTGAGGTTGACATAAAAACTGACTAGCACAAAGTCTTTAGAAAAGACTTGAAATTTGTGTCCTTAACATGTGATAATCTCTGTGTTCTCAATGTGTGCTTAAGTAAAGATCCTGTGAGAGAAGAACAGGCACAGTGAGTGGGGTGGTTAAAGAATTTGAGCCCCTGAGTCTGACTGCTAGCACTAGAAAGAAAAAACAATTTTGTGATTCAGTATTAGGTGTTGAGACTCTAAGAGCTTAGAAACTTTGCTTCTGCTTGCCTGCCAGTATACTGGTTTCAGTGAGGCGGCTTTAATTACAGACACATATGGTTTACAAAGCCTTGAAACAGGTATCCCTGCTTGAGGAAGAAGATAAATACCAAACTGTAAAGTCAAGGCGAGTAGTCTGTCCTTGCGTTTGTTAAGCATCACTCAGGCTCACCACCTTCTTCAGAACAAAAAATCACTGAAAATCTGCTACTTGAGGTGCTTTACAAGTGCAGTCCCCAGGTTCTGCCGCGGCCCCGGTTTCTGCTGAGTAAAATGGCTGCCCTTGTCCATCAGAGGATCTCAGTTTACAGTGTCTTGTTGCAGTCAGTAAGAAAGTGGGAAATGACTATGCGTGTTATAAAGAAATGATGCTGTTTGAACAGTGCTCTCAACCAACTGTCATTTATGCTGACATAAATAGTGGTTAGCTAGGCATCAGTGATACCATCACATGACAGTGCAAGTCGGGGACATCTGTAGGCCTGTGGTTTATGTACTTTCATGAGCATGTACAAAATGTGGCTGCTCTTTCAATGCTGACTCAACAGCTTGCCTACTGGTTGCCTATAGAAACTTCTTTTAACAGTGAAATTTTCACTTGTCCCTTATTCAGTTAACAGTGAAATTTTTACTTGTCCCTTATCTTGTTGTCAATGACTTCTTATTTTTCTTTTGGGGGATCAGGGTTCCAGTTGAGACATCATCTATGTTATCACTGCCACTGAGTCACAATCGGGTAAGTTTCTTTTAGTGGTTGGTTGGTTGGTTGGTTGGTTGGTTGGTTGGTTGGTTGGTTGG